CATTTCTTAGATTTAGGTTTGATTTTTTTTTTTTTCCCATCAAAATTCTTTCATAGATCGTGGTGGGCATTTTTCTTTCATGAGGTGTATAATGTCTGTGCACACTCGCACATGTGCTTTCTCCCCCCACCTCAAAGTGGCAGTAACAACTAGGTTATTACTAGACTCCTAATTCATTAAGGATTGCCATATGGTGATACTCTAATTCTGTCATGTGTTCTTTATTGTATGGAATACTTCTTTAAAGAGAATCTGGATTTTTATCAACTCTCTGATTACCTTGATAAATGCTTAATTCTCAACTACTTTTCAGAATTCTGAGTTGGCTATTTAGTATTGTTCAAATATGATCAATGGAGTTTTTAAGAAGAATCTTTATGATCTCCAAAACTCAAAACCTTGAAGCGTTTAAATCCATTGAGCTAACGTTCTTGCTCCTTTCATCTCTAGCCAGTTGGTGCCCCTTTAGGTTGTCTCCTGAGTCCTCTTGACATATTCTTAGTAGTCTTTGGTAGCTTCGTGGTGTTCCAGGTTTATCTTAAACTTATTTCCTGCTCCAGAATTGGAATCATCTAGTTCTCCAAGTGGAATTTTTAGCATTGTTCAAAGATGGTCAATGGGGTTTTCAAGAATAATCTTTATGATCTCGTGAACTCAAAAACTTGAAGTGTTTACATCCATTTATTTAAATTATTTCAATTATTTTTGCTTTCAATTATTTTTAAGGCAACACTCTTCCTTTTTCTGTGACATATAGTGTATACAATCAATCCCATTCCTAAACGAATTTAAAGTACCACTTATCTGTCAAATGGCAACAAAAGGAAGTAAATGTTTTTTCTTTTTCAAATACTAACAGTCTAAAAATAAAAGAATGTAGTGTTTCCTTTTTGGTGAAAATTGAAGGTAAATTTTAAAATTAAAATATTTTTATTATAGAAAGTTGTTAAGGTATAAAAACATGTATAGCCAGAAAAGTTTAGTTTCTAAAAAGTTCCTTTGATTAATTTGTTTCAGCCTTGATCATATAACTAAACGTTTTATCAGAAATTGAGGAATCTTTAGTAGTTTTGTAATTGGAAACTTTGAATATTTGCTGTAAGCTTGGCAGAATTATTCTTTACTATGCAGCCCCATCAACCCATGGTTTAAATACCGTTACTGTTCTTATTGTATCAGGGAAAGCATTCAGTAAATATACTCTTTTGATTATTTTAATCCTGTGGTTGCTTCTTCCAAATTCAGTGATTGCTAGTCTATGAACTGTATGGCAACCAATCTGTTTGTATCCTGAATAAATAATACACATTATGAATATATCTGCTATTGTTTTAAACTGTGTTCTGGCATTTTGTAATTTATATAATCTAGTTTTAAAAACACTGAATCTATATAGCTTGGTATCTTGTATTTTCTTTGTAATTGGATGTTTGTAGTCTACTATAAGCCTGTAGTAGTCTATGGTATTTTATATTTACTGCTTTAATAAAAAAAGATATGTTTAGATAGAGACCTACATATATGTATGTAATTCATTCTTGAAAATGTATGAAGTTGAAAAGTACACTTATATCATAAAGGAGATAGATTCTATTACCAATGAACTGAAAATTCATAGAGGTGTATGTATAACCTCAATTATTGTGGGCACTCTCAGTGGGAGAGGGAGGAAAAAGTGCACAGGTGTCTGGTGGTTATTGTTTTGCCTGCTGGCCAGTTAGCCAGCGTAGAGACAAGAGTAGTTGATTGAGGTGTCTATTCTTTCTACAGGCCCTCTACTTTGCTGTCTCACAGCTGAATTGAAAACTTTTACCATATCTCCAGTTTCTAAGGATATACTAGTTACCTTAAATAGATGTGAGTGGAAAAAAATATTTCTGTTTGGGACCAGTTGACCCAACAAATGTATTGATGATTCATGTGTGACTATTCCCTGAAAAGGAAATACTGATGCAGGTTGGCATCAGGGTATGTTGAGCAGCCAGAAGGACAGTATTTCTGTATATGAGTTCTCCCTTGGGGAGAACAAGGCCCAATCTACCAATTTTTTTTTTTCTTTTTTTTTTTGAGGATGGGGTGTTGGTGTGGGTTGCAGTGTAAGAGTATGTAACATTGTGTCTGAAGCCATGGGGTGAGACTGAGGAAGAGCACTTGAATTTAAGGTCCTTTGCCTTTTCACTTTCTTCTCTCCCTTTCCTTTGGTCTCCCCTTTTCTCTCTTTTTTCTGTTCCTTCCCTTACTTCATTTATCTAGTTAGTAATTTTCATGCTTTATGAGGAGCTTCTGTGTATTTGGCCTTGGTTAAATTATTCTATGATGTTGAATGAGAAAAGATTTCACATCAGGAGCACATCCTATTGAAGTTACCTGGAGAAGAATGTTCAACTTAATGTGGATACAATAAGGTGGGAGGAAAACAGTCTGCACTTGTTATAAGGCCAATTGGCCAATCTTCTTATGGCTACTTATTTTTATTGTAGGACTACATATATAATTTCTGTGACCCAAGTTTGCACTGAAGTAGTATCAACTGTAAGATCCTTAGCCCTATCTGTTTGGCAGCCCTATGCCATATAATGTATTTGAATATACCAGCTGAATATAACTCAGAGAGGGGTTGACCCATTCTGGTGAGATTCATCTCAGAGTCCAAGTTCCTTTCTATGGTATTTCTGACAGTCTCTTCTAAGATAGCTGATATAAAACAGCTGATCGAAAACAGCATTTCCCACTTAAACCCCACTCTCCACATGAACCAGGATAATCTACACCTGAATTAGCTGAATTAGGCACTGATAATCTAAATTAAGCACTGAATTAGTTATGTGATTGTGAATAAAGTTACTGGACCAGTCTGTTACAGCTAGACTTGAGAGATGATATCACAGCTCAGCCCCTTCATGATGCTGATGAGTATTCTGTAATTTCTGACTGTAAGTACCATATTATGCTATCTTTCATATCATAAATATCTTGAGAATCAAATAAGATAAATATCAGTATGCCTTGATAGGCAGAAAATATCACAAGATCAATTATTTCTACTTCTTTTCTGTTTTCAGGACGCATGTGTGTTGTTTGCATTGACATTTTTTAATTCTCAGAATCATGGAAGGAGAGGTCATTTTTAATGTCTTTTCATGTCACTGAGTTCAAACCAATCATGGAAGGAAGGTAGATTATCTGGGCAGGCTAATAAGTAGATACCCTTTGAAACTCAAATTTTTCCATTACTTATTTAGAAGATACATGAATAAATTGATTTTCAGGCCAGGAATTTATTATATTCATTTATTGCAGGTAGTTTTCTGGCTACTTTCTTGGCATATTAAACTGACTAATATTTAGATAAAAGCATTCATTTATGTTATTAGCATTGTTTTCTTTCTGTGACTTTTAAGGCAGTTGTCAGCTGACAAATTTTATGGGTTGAAGAGTCAAAATTTGCTGAGGATCAAATCTTATGCAATTTTAAAAACTTTTTTTATTGCTTTACTTTGCATAATAATAGTGATTAAGCCAAACTTGACCATTGGACTGTGAACTCATTTGCTCCCTGCAGTAACCACATGACACAGGTGAGGAAATGAAGGTGTGTAGTGGTTACACAACTAATAGTAAAGGTAAGATTTGAATGCAGTTAGTCCTGAGTCTGTAGTTTTTGAGCACTATGCCGCTACCTTCTAACAGTTTTGATAGCTTGTTAGAAATGAAAGAACTATAGGCCATATCCCAGACATACTGGATCATAATCTGCATTTTAACAAACTGTATTTAATACCCCTAAAGTTTGAGAAGTATTATAGTAGATGATATTGAGGGTTTCTTCCAGCTCACAGTTGTGAGTGATTCTGAGACCAGCCAGCATGGATATTTCAATGTCGATTATTACATTTAGCAAAGAAAATGGTAATATATTAAAGCAGCGGTCCCCAACCTTTATGGCACCCGGGGCCCCAGTTTCATGGAATATAGTTTTTCCCTGAACTTCGAGGTAGAAGTGATGGTTTTGAGATGAAACTCTTCTGCCTCAGATCATCAGGCATTAGTTAGATTATCATAAGGAGTGCTCAGCCTAGATCACTCACATGCACAGTTCACAACAGGGTTCACATTCCTATGAGAATCTAATGTTGCTGCTGATCTGATGGGGAGGCAGAGCTCAGGTGGTAACTCTCACTTGCTGCATGCTCACCTCCTGCTGTGCAGCCCAGTTCCTTACTGGCCTGCAGCCTGAGGGTTGGGTTGGGGACTCCTGTATTAAAGACATTTATTCTTCAGATTCCATTATAGGGCAACTCTTGAGAAAATACTTGTTTGAATTTGTGAAAGGTTTTTTACATAGAAGAAAATTACCCTAAATTTTATCATCTTGTATCATTTAAGGAAATAATTAGAAACCAATTATTTTTATATGGTCTTAGATTAAATATTTTTCTTAATGTCAGCCAATTAAACATATGAGAACACTAAGAATAACATAACTTGATTTTTGAACAATTCACTATTCTGATACTTCAGTGAACAGTTTAACATATGAAGTTAACTGTTATAATAGATTAATTACCAAGTAAATTAGCACTGCACTTGCTTGATTAGGAAAGTCTAATTTTCACAGTCTCTAGAATTTAAACATATCTTTCAAACTTAATTAAGGCAAGAATCCTGTTTTAGTTTTTTTTTTTTTTTTTGGAGATGGATTGTCACCCTGTTGCCCAGGCTGGAGTGCAATGGTGCAGTCTTGGCTCACTGCAACCTCCACCTCCTGGGTTCAAGTGATTCTCCTGCCTCAGCCTTCCTGGTAGCTGGGATTATAGGCACACACCACAATGCCCAACTAATTTGTTAATATCTGTTGCAGAGATGGGGTTTCACCATGTTGGCCAGGCCCGTCTCGAACTTCTGACCTCATGATTCACCTGCCTCGGCCTCCCAAAGTGCTAGAATTACAAGTGTGAGCCACCATACCGGCCTTAGTTTTTTTTTTTTTTTTTTTTTTTTTTTTAAACACGACAGTAATGGCTGTTTCTTCACTATTAAATGATCACCTGGCACATTGTAGAAATTCACAAGTATTTGTTGAATGAATGAATGAATAGGAGTTTGGTTTAGGTGATTTTGCTAATGATTTCAAGTAAATAATAAAACACCTGTTAGAATATAAAAAGTTGAGTTTTTAGAAAAATCAGGTATTTCCCTTTGTTAACAAATTGGTACATTAATATTCTGCATATCAACGAATTTTGACTCTTTTTTGAAAATTTCATTGTGAAAGATATAATTTGAACATAAGAAATTAAAACATTTATATAATTCAGTCCAAACAGCTGGTTAAAAAATAGAATGCTGGGGGAGGCAGAGCAGAATGGTCAAATGGAAGCCTCTACTGATTGTCCTCACCACAGGAACACCAAATTGCACAACTATGCACATATAAAACACCTTCATAAGAACCAAAAATCAGATGACTCATCACAGTAGCTGGTTTTAACTTCATATTGCTGCAAGCGGCACTGGAGAGGTTAAGAAAGACAGTATTGAATTGTCAGTGCCATCCCTCCCTCATCCCTTGGCAGAAGCTGAGTGGTGGGGAGAGAAAATCTGTATACTTCGGGGAGGGAGAACACAGTGATTGTGGGACTTTGCATTGGATAAAACTCAGCCAGAGCCCATGGATGACATTGCATTTGGACCAGCCCTAGGCATAGGGGAATTGGCCATCCCAGTGGTTGGAACCTGAGTCTCGCAAGCCTTACCACTGCAGGCCAAAGTGCTCTGGGGTCCTAAATAAACTTGAAAGTCAGGCTAGGCCACAAGGAGTGCAATTCCTGGGCAAGTCCTGGTGCTGTGCTGGGTTTGGAGCCACCACACCACCCGTGAGACATCAGCTGGGGCGGCAAAGGGAGCTCTTGTGCCACCCTTCCTCCCACCCCAAGTAGTGTACCTTGCAGCTCTGAGAAAGACTCCTTCACTCTGCTTGAGGAGAGGAGAGGGAAGAGTGAAGAGGATTTCTGTCTTGCAGCTTGGATACCAGCTTAGCCACAGTAGGACAGGGTACCAGTTACCACAGAGTCCTGAGGCCCCTGTTTCAGGCCCTAGCTCCCAGACAGCATTTCTAGACACACCCTTGCCAGGAGGGAACCTACTGCTTTGAAGGGTAGGACCTAGTCCTGGCAGGATTTATTACCTGCTGACTAAAGAGCCCTTGGGCCCTGAGTAACCAGCAGTGGTACCCAGGCAGTACTTTGCATGGCCCTTGGGTGAGATTCAGAGACATTTGCATTGGGTAATGCAATGCTGGCTTTAGGTGTGACCAAGTAGATTTCCAGTTGTGGTGACTATGAGGAGGGACTTCTGCTTCAGAAAAGGAGAGGGAAGAGTTGAAGGGACTTTGTCTTGCAGCTTAGATACCAGCTTGGTTACAGAGGGATACAGCACCAGATGGGCCCTTGGGGTTCCTGATTCTAGGTCTTGGCTCTTGTATAGCATCTCTGGTCCTACCCTGAACCAGAGGGGAGCCCACTGCCCTGAAGGGGGAGTCTCATTCACCACAGCTGACAGAAGAGCCCTTGGTTCTTGAATGAATATTGGTAGCCAGGCAGTACTTGCAATGGACCTGGGACTGTGCTCTTCGTGGGGAGAGATTCCTGTGCTTGTGGAAAGGGGAGGGAAGAATGGGAAGGACATCATCTTGTGGCTTGGGTGCTAGCTCACCTGCAGTAGAGTAGAGCAGCAGGTAGATTCCTGAGGTTTCCATGTCCAGGCCCTGGCTTCCAGACAGCATCTCTTAACCTGCTCAGGAATGAGAAACTTGCCACCTTGAAGGGAAGGACACAAGCCTATTTGGCTTTGCTACCTGCAGATTGTAGAGCCCTAGGGCCTCAAGTGAACATAGGCAGTGGCCAGGCCATGGTTACCACAGGTCTTGGGTTTGACCCAGTGCTTTGTTGGCTTCAGGTCTAATCCAGTACAGTCACAGTGGACCTCCCCCAGCTCCATATAACTTAGCAGAGAGAGAGAGAAACTCTGTTTGTTTGGGAGAATGAAAGGGAAGAGAACAAGATTCTCTGCGTGGTAGTTTAGATAATTCTTCCACATCTTATTCAGGATCATGAAGGCAATACCACAAGACTTTCAGAGCCATAACGTTAGTAGGATTAGGTTGCCCCTAATGTATATATGGCTACAGTGACTAGAAACATAGATCCTAACACCCAAGTTTTTTCAAATACCTGGAAAGCCTTCCCAAGAAGGACTGGCACAAACAAGCCCAGACTGCAAAGACTATAATAAATGCCTAACTCTTCGGTGTCCAGACATCAGTGAACATCCACAAGCGTCAAGATCATCCAGGAAAACACTGACCTCACCCATTGAACTAAGGAAGATACCACAGACCAATCCTGGAGACAGATAACATGTCCTCTTGGGTAGAGAAATCAAAATAGTTGTTTTGAGGAAATATGGCAAAATTCAAGGTAATACCGAGAAGGAATTAAGAATCTTATCAGATAAATATAACAAAGAGATTGAATTAATTTAAAAAAGCAAAAATCCTGAAGTTGAAAAATGCAGTTGACCTACTGAAGAATGCACCAGAATTTCTTGACAGAACTTATAGAGCAGAAGAAGGAATGAGTGAACTTGAAGACAGGCTAATTGAAAGTACACAGGAGAAAAAAGAATAAGAAATAATGAGGCACAACTACACAATCTAGAAAATAGCCTCAAAAGAGCAACTATGAGAGTTATTGTCCTTAAAGAGAAGATAGAGAGTTAGGGGTAGAAAATTTATTCAAATAGATAATAACAGAGAACCTCCCAAACCTAGCAAATGATGTCAGTATTCAAATACAAGGAGGTTATAGAACACCAAGCAGATTTAGCCCAAGACTACCTCAAGATACAAGATACCTCAGAGATCAAGGATGAAGAAAGGATCCTAAAAACAAGAGAAAAAGAAACAAATAACATGCAGTGGTGCTCCAGTACATTTGGCGGCAGACTTCTCAGTGGAAGCTGTACATACAGGCCAGGAGAGAGTGACATGCCATATTGTAGTGTGGATCAGGAACTTCAGCAAAGTATTATTAGAGGAACTAAGTGACTCTGTACTTTGTTCTGAATAAATGTGTCTATCTTATTAGCTCTTAGAAGGAAGTGAGAGGACACTTCTTTCGGTGAAATAGTATTCCCTTCTGATTCAGAGAGGAGAGAACATGGAAGCAGAGCAGAAACTTCATTAGCAGGCATTCTGTCCTTTGGTTAAAAGGTAAAAGTGGCTAGGATGTGGAACAAGGATTAAGAAAACACAAATGAGTAAATAAGAGTTATATAACTCTGAGGGACATAAAAGAAGATATGATCAATTGGAAAAAATGTCATTTTGGGATAGAAACACTCAGTATTTTATGTCTCCCTAAATAAATCTTGTCCAGGATTTCTGTTGATTTGTTATCTAATCATTTGTAGTTGCTTAGACCAGCCCTATATAGTTGCTTTATTTTTCTCCATAGCACTTATCCCCATGTGATATAACTATATATTTACTTAGTTAATTTTCTTTTTCCCCCCTTCTGGAATGTAAACTTACAAAGTTATGTGAACTTATGAGGGTATGTTTGTGTTCACCTTACTAGAATGTAGGTTTATGAGGGTATGTTTTATTCCCTTGTGCTATCTTCAGTACCTTGAACTGTGCTTGGCAGAGAGGAAGCAGTGAGTGACTGGTGAGTAAGTGAATGAATGAATGAATACATAAAACACCCCTTTCTTTCATAATTCACAGCACTTATTGTCCTATAGTTTTTTTGGTCATTAATTTTGTTTAGTGTAGCATCTTATAATGCTTTCTATTATTTCCTTTTGGTTCAGTGTCTAATTGTTTCATTCCTATAGGACATTCTTCTCTATGTTCCTTGATGGCATGAGTGGGACAAATGCTTCCTTTGTGTACTACCTCACAGTGCAAGACGAATGGATATAGGAACTTGTTGAATTGAATACATGTATTTATTTATAATGACTTAAATTGACAAAATCCAATTTGCCTTTAATAAAAGAATATTTTTTTATTGGCTAAAACAGTATAATTCTGCATGAAATAATTTGTTTTTAGTGGACGAATTCTTTCTGGTAATGTTTTGTTGAGCTCATAGTAAATTTTGGTAACTGGAAGTTGGAACTTTTGTAATTATAATTGTATGAGTTTCTACACATAATTTGAGTAAAATAATATCACAGTTTTCAGTGAGATAAGGATTTCTTACCTTGAAATTTCAATTTCTGAAAAAATGTCTGTTTATTCTGTAGTTATATTGGGACTTAATTTCAAGTTGAAATATTCTAAATAAGTATAACTTTGTAGCCTACTTATCCTTTATATATATATTTGTAAATATAAATATAAAAATGTTTTTTGTATATACTTTGTTGTATTTCTCATGCCAGAATTTCATTTAACAGTTTGTGTAGCTATTTCTGTCCTATACCTTTGCATTATCATTAGCATTTTTAAAAATTAATTGTAGATGTTCTATAAATCTCTCTGTATATAGATTTTGTATATTGTTTTTTGGAGATAAATTTTCAAGTGTACACTTCACATTTTCAAAAGTTACTGAAATAATACCATAAATGTTTACAAGAAGAAACTTAAAACTATGTAGAAGTTTTGTTGGTTCTTTTCTAATTCATATGGAGGACTATTTACTTATTTACTTAACGCTTTTTGCTTTATTTCAGGCCAGTCTATCCATATGGGGATGGGGAAGCCTTGGCATTGTCCTGTTTCTAATAACCTTTGGACCCTTTGTAATATTTTATTTGACATTTTATATCCTCTGCTTTGTGGGTGGGTAAGTATACTCAATTATAATTTTACAATTTGTGTGTCATATCTCGTTCAAATGGAAACCAATGACTGTGAGAAACGAGAGTAAGATTTATTTGTGAATGCCATTTTTAGTAAATTGCTTTTCCTGAAGTTAAAAAGATGAAGATAGCTGTACAAATAAAAACAATGATTGTCATTATTTGTGTCAGAAATACGGGTAGTCCTTCAATAATAAAATGTCCATTTCTAAAGGTATGAACTATGTTTTTAGTGATAATATGTAGTTTTAAAGATTTTTCAATTTTTTTGGTGTTATTTCTCCTTTAAAGTTGAAAAAATTTTTGCATTATGTTAAGGTAAGTAAGTTAAATTGAGACTACACATGAATTTTACTTTACAGAAATTGTTTCATTGATTGGACTTGAAACAATAATGTTAATTTTTTCCTTTAATGAATGTTGTCGTTTTGGTCTAGAAAATTCAAATATCTGATTTTGTCATTTTCTCTTTATAGTTATTTGGTTTATGTTTATATTTTCCCTTAAGTTGATAAATCTGTACAAGAGAGGTTTCAGTCATAATTTATTGTAGCTTTGTATGCAGAGCATTTGGTGTCAGACATGAATTACAAGGAAATATTCAAAAATGTATAGACAAGGGATGTTTGTTATTTAGACACTGTCACCAAGGTAACTTAGTTGAAATGAGTATTTTGTTGTTAATATGTGTGTATGTATGTTTATACTATATATTTGTGTAGTTAGTTGTGGAATGAACACTGATTTCTTTCTGAACAATCTTTTGAGACCCCAGATATTTGGAGTTGTTTGAGCCTATAGGTTTAGACTATTTAGCTAAATTGAATAGCATATATAAACAGTAGCTTGAGAAACTATTAAGACACTGAAGGAGTAGTTTCTAAATATATCTATCACTTTTTTGGGGGTACAGATTTGATAGACATGTTATAGTCCTTCTATAGGGAGCATACACTTGAACAAGTGAGAAGAAATGAGCAGCTACATCAAGGACTCTCCATAAAACTATATTTTATGTTTGATTTAGTATTTTCATATTAATGGCCTAGATATGATACTGTGTACTGAAACATTTAAACTTATATCAGCCAAAGAGTTCAGAGTGTCTTTATTGATGATAAAGATGATTGAAGATAATACAGATCTGCAGCCAAATGGGTTTCCAAATTACACTCCTCCGTTGCTGTTAAGGCCACCACATGGCTGAATAGTGACATGGTTGTACCTTTCCCTCTCAGAGTCAAGGCTGCATTTATTGATTGGAAAGGAAATTACTTGTCTTGACTTTTTTTTTTTTTTTGAAAGGTACAAATTTCTCCTAATTTTATGAATTGAATTAGCCCTTGTAAGCGTGAAGGAAAAGGATTTCACAGTATTCCCTAATACTTTAAAGAGAGAATATTGCAGCTTTGTAGGCTAAGGTAGGAGCCCTTGGAAGGTGGATAAGTGAAGAATTATTCCTTTTTTACTCAACTGCTGCAAATAAGATTTGGGAAAAAGAGAAGAGTGATCAATGTATTCATTTTTAAAATTTTTAAGTCTTCGAAAAAAACCACCACCAGATTCTGCACAAAGTTCATTCATTTTTAAAGTCATGAGAACCTTTGTTATTTCTTTTTCGTATGTCATAATTTATCAAGGAATAATTTCAAAAAATCTTTCGAATGCTTATAAAATTTTGTAAGAATTTGGAGGTAAGGTGGGATACTAGAGGACAGTTTGTACTAAAACAATCTTTAGACAATATTGAGTCACATGGTAGGGTCTGTGGAACCCTCTCTCTCTCTCTCTTTTTTTTTTTTTTTTTTTTTTTTGCTAATAAAAGTTAAGTTTTTAAGTTCTGCTGTTTACTCTTTAAAGTGTTGATAATGTACATGTTTTGCTTATAGTCAAAGTTAACCCCCGTTCTTTTTTTAACATAAAGAATGCTTTTGGAAAAGAAAACACATGGGGATTTTTCGTTGTTATAGGATACTTTCAGTACTGTATTATGGTTCTTTTGTGGTGTTCTGTTATATTAGTTGGGTTATATAATTATTTATTGTACTCTACTGAAATTTAAATTATTACTTAAACTTTATAGCTGAAACTACTATTTAGATTACTTTAAAATCAGACGGCTCTTTATCTTGCCTTCCTGTCATTATACACTTGTGGGCAAAAGTTAATGTCTTAGTCTGTTTCTTGATAATTATGTTTTTAATAACACAGTGTTAATGTAAACATTTTATTGTGTCTGTAAATATGCTTAATAACCAGGCAAAACTGAAATATCAGGCCAACTTGAATCTTAATATCATCTTTAACACAGATAGATGAAATTTAGCAGTAATTCTGAGACCAGCCTTTTACAAAAAAACACAAAAGCAGAATTAATGACGTAAACTGATTTATTTGTGTTCTCTACCCTCAACCCCTACTTTGTGATACTTGTACTGAAGACTAGTGAGAAGGCAGGTAGCCACAAAAAATGGAGGACTTTGGGAATCTTCCTTTCAGTAGTTGAGACTGACAGTCTGTAATTTTTTACTCTTCCCTTCCTGTCATTACAGTCTTTGAATCATTATAAGATTACTATAAGATTAAAATTTTTTGATGGATTTCCAGTACTTTGCTTTATTGGTAAATTTTAAATCTATGAAATACTGATAATATTTAGTTAATACTTAGAGTGAAATAGTTCTACATCACCATATATCTTCCTGGATCTTGTAATTATTTTAAAAAATAATTAAACTTTTTGGGATACATTTATATTTTCCTAATTCCAGCCTTATTTTAAACAAATCATAGATTGGATTATTTTTTCCCTGAGTAGCCTTTATTTGTTTATTCTATTCTGTATTCATATTGGCAAGTTATCGAAATACAATACCTCATGTTAATTGGTTAACAGAACTATAGAATTTGGTCATTTAGCTACAGACTTAGTTCTCATTTGTCTTTATCCATGGTTATTAGCTAGCCTGCTTGTTTAATGAGGGCTGATTTTTCTTAAGTTTGAAAATGTCACTTAAGATTCTTTAGGAAATATATAGGATTAAAACTTTAAAAGGCCTTATTGTGTAATTCACAAAATGTTTATAGTTGTTTTAAACTTAAGAAACTAATAAAATATTTCAATTTCTTGCTTTGCCAAAGTCACAAATTGACTTTTTAGTGAATGATAAGCCATCTGTGAACTCTGAAAAATATTCTTTGTAGTAGATTCATTAAGTTATAGGAAAATTTTGTTTTTATATTTGTGATAAATTTTTCTTTCTAGGGGTTTAGTGGTTACTCTCCTGTTTGGAAAAACAAACTCAGAGAAGTACCTAGAACAGTGTGAACACTCATTTCTTCCTCCAACATCAACTGGGGTTCCTAAGGTAAATAGTTTGAGGGAATATGAAACCTCAAAGTTCAGTTCTTTGCAATGACAATAGAGTATATAGCTTGACAAATTTTCCTATAATTCACTAATGCTCACAGGCAAGTAATGGGAGATTGTCTAATTATACTTAGGAAATATATTTTTAAAGGCCATCTAAAAAATTTCCTTAGTGTTAGATTTAAAAAGTGGGAATACAAACTTGAGAAAAATAAATTGGTTAGTTTATTTTGGGTATTTTTCCTGTTATCTTATCATAGAATTTCAAAGCATCATGCATATGATTTGTAAGAATGACAATGAATATTTTGGTTTGAATGAAATAAATTGCAGAGTTACCAGAGGGAAAAAGTGGATACTTTTCATCACTTTGAAGAATATAGCTTATAATTAGATTATGCAGCATCTATAAATTTAATAATTCAGGCCTAATTTTTATCATCTTCATTGGTGCTATGCTCTTATTTTTTTAGGATCATACTCTATAAATAAAATTGGATTTGTATAGGCTTCAGATTTGTAGTACCTTCTATTCTTGTGTGATTGAGATGGCCTTATTTTGTATTAAGACAGGCAAGTGGCTTGGAGTTGATACTAGTAACAGCTTTCTTTACAGTTACTAACTTGTGTATTTTATGCTAAAATGCAGGAGATGTAGAGTTAAATAATGTCCAATATAATTTTACATTACTTTTAATAAAATAATTTCACTCTATTCCACTGACTTTTATATTGATAAACTGATTTTTAATATTTAAACATTTATAACCTGCAACTTTTCTCTCCTTTAGGACTCATATTAATACATATTTTTTTACTTTGCTTACAGGTCTTAGGAAATTAACCTTTTCTTTTTTGAACCATTTCTTAGCTATTTATAGTGTACATTCATTTGAATAGTATATACTGAGGATAGGAAATATTTTAAGAATTAAGATCATTAACAGTAATAAATTATATTCAAGACTGGTTAGGTCTTCTATAATCCATTTTTTAATAGATGGTATAAAAACTGGGTTTGATTTTTGTTTCTAAAATATGATTTATAAGTATGTTTTATAAAAAAAATTCATTGATTTCATATTATAATGTGAAGCATGTATTTTTAATGTAGATATCTATGTCTATATCTCTATATTTATATATATTTGTGGTTTTCTTTTTTTAGGAGTCTCTCACTACCTTTCACCCAATTTTCAGGCCACTGATCTTTCTGAACACTAAAAAGTAGAGAAATACGTTTTCTTAAGTTGCCAAAAAGTATCCCTAAGTAAAATCAGCTTAAAAATACAATTATTTGGCAGCTACTCTACTGTTTTGGACTGAGAAATGGTAGGGGAAAGAGGGAGAATGTCCAATAAAGACAGTTTGACTCGCATGAAACACTAATTTTGTAGTTGTAAAGTTTTGTTGAAATATGGCAGCAGCATAACTATACATTTGCAGTTTTCCTACATTCTAAATAATGTTTGCTGATTTAATTGAATTTTTGAGGATAATAGTTTTTGGGGAGTATCTAATTTTGTTACCTTGAGAATTAGTGGTTGGCTTATACTAGCACCTCAAATAAGGTTATTGACTTGAGGATAATGAAGGGATATTACATTGAGTATTCAATTGGAATTAAACTGGTGAGATTTTAGATTAAAAACTGCTCAGTAAGATGTTATGATTTTCTTTAAGTGCTTAGAAGAAATGAAACGGGAAGCCAGGACTATTAAGATTGATAGAAGATTGACCGGTGCCAATATAATTGATGAACCTCTCCAGCAAGTGAGTTTCAGTTTGTGGTATTTGAATTGCATAGATTTTGTGTTAGGTGTATTTCTCTTGAAAACACCAAGAAACAATTTTTGCTCTTTAACTAATACCCTGGAATTTAATAATGTTATCCTCAAATTTTATATGTGAAGATGCTTCCTTAGTTATTAACTCACTTTTAGTGAGGTGGTTTACTTTATATAAAAGCTTTTTGATTGAATTTGCATTTAGAAAAATTGTTTTTACTGACATATTTGATAGTGTTTCTTAAAATTTTACAGTTAAAGTATTACTCTTTTGTTGATCAATAAACTTAGTGATGTGGTAAATTAGACTTTTTTTCCTACTGGTTTTATTATCTTTTAAAAATGGAAATGAAATACTGGATCCAAAAACATTAAAAAATTAGAGATAGGCAAGAAACTATGCCCCCTGAAATATTTTTCATTGATGTTTGTTTGATTAGATGATTATTATAAAAATGTGTACTTTAGAATTTAAAATTTATTACTAATATTTAGTTTATCTGGTTTGTAAAAATTATGCATTGAGGTTGTATATTTACTATTTATTGTCTAAATACTGTTGGCAGTATCAAAGGTATTAGTAAAATTAAGTGAACTCCTGTATCATTTTTATAATTAGACTTCGATGGATCTGATGATATAATCTTTAAAAAATTGGGTTTATATTCTTTATTATTTTACATCTCATTTCATTAAACTGATTGATTTATTTATTAGATTATAGCATGGAAAGTTTATTTTATTTCTGCAAACTCTTCTTTACCTGGATTTATGGGGGCCTTGGCCATAGATAGTGTTTTAATTCTTTTTCTTTTTGATAAGGAGTCTCACTCTGTCACCAGGCTGGCGTGTAGTGGCACGGCCTTGGCTCACTGCAATCTCTGCCTCCCAGGTTCAAGTGATTTTCCTGCTTCAGCCTCCCGAGGAGCTGGGACTACAGGTGCATACCACCATGCCTGGTTAATTTCTGTATTTTTAGTAGAGATGGGGTCTCACCATGTTGGCCAGGATGGTCTTGATATCTTGACCTCGTGATCCACCCTCCTCGGCCCCCTAAATTGCTGGAATTGTAGGCGTGAGCCACCACGCCTGACCTAATTTTTTTTTTTTTTTTAATCTAGGCAGTATGTAAGTTGGGATACCAGGATAATTTAAAAATGTTTCAAATGGTTTTTAGCATGTCGATGCTTTTGTAATGAAGGCAGGCATTTACCACCATAAATTAATATGTAGAGTGTAAATGTAAATTGCCAGGTACAGCATACTTTTTAAATCTTATCTGTATCTTTTTAAATCTTAAAAAGTTGTAATATTTTTCCCCCAATATTTTTGTTACAGGTTATCCAGTTTTCCTTGAGGGATTATGTCCAGTATTGGTATTATACACTAAGCGATGATGAATCTTTTCTTCTTGAAATTAGGCAGACTCTTCAAAATGCACTAATTCAGTTTGCTACTAGGTAAGGACACTGCATTGTATTTATGCAGAAAAATTTAGATGTATAGTTTGAACCAGTAAGGAAAATAACTTTTAAAGGGAGGAATTGTTTATTAAAAGGTAAGTAGGACAGCAGATTATTATTGTGGGATAACTCCAAGATTTTAGAACTGTAGCCTCTAAAACCTTTAAATTACCCCAGATTTGAGGTTTTTACAGAATGTTTATCTTGATTAAGCCCTACTGAGTCTGTGTGGTAATTTTTTTTGGGGTCCAAGTTAGGTGACTTTTCAAATCTGTTACCCCACTTATTGATACTATTCCCCCCTCTTCCCTAGATCCTCTGTTTTGTGTGAGTGCTATGAAAATAGGTTAGTTGCAGTATAACTGCTCTTCTCCACTTAGTTTTGCCTTAACTCTTCTCCTAATCATGGCACATACCTATTGGAAGTCCTCTTAGAGGGAGGAGAATGGACCGAAGAAACATAAGTCAGTGGAGAATATTCAAATTTGTATTTTTCAGAAAAGAAGTATATTTTGGTGAGTTTAAGAAACTTTTCCTGTCAGATAAACTAAAATTCTTACTTTACAAACCAGCTATGTACTGCTTCCCATATGACGAAAGTATTTTGGCCTCTATTCTTGTACTGAAACTACTAGGATTTTTTTTTTTTTTTTTTTTTTGGGGGGTTTTTTATAATTTTTTTTAATTTTTTTTTTTTTATTTTTTTTTTTTAAGGGTTTTTTTTTTTTTTTTTTTTT